TGTCTCAGATGCAGACCATCAGCCGGGACCTGTCCGTGGTGGTGTCCATGGACAACAACCGGCACCTGGACCTGGACAGCATCATCGAGGAGGTCCGGCGCCAGTATGAGCAGATCGCCCAGAGCAGCCGGGCTGAGGCTGAGGCCTGGTACCAGAGCCAGGTGAGCTGGGGAGGRGTTGAAGCTCCTTGRKCATGGGAAACACCYGAGTTGTTGGTCAGTTGTGTCACTGATGGGTGACACTGTCACRTCTTTGTCCCCACGTGTCCAGTATGAAGAGCTCCAGAACACRGCTGGTCGYCACGGGGACAACCTCCGCAACACCAAGATGGAGATCCAGGAGCTGTCCAGGAATGTCCAGAGGCTGCGGGCTGAGATTGAGAACGTGAAGAAGCAGGTAAAATACCATCAACACCTCATTGGGTAATGGCCACGGGCTGGGTCAGGATGGGTGGTGAGAGAGAAATGCAGTCATGGAAATCCATGTCTTTTGGAGGAGATGGATTATTTCCATTTTCCCTCCAGTTTATGCCATGAGGCTGCTCCAGTGGAGGGAGGGCAGAAGGGATCTCACAAACCGGGTTTCTTCTCCACAGAACCAGCAGCTGCAGGCAGCCATTGCTGAGGCTGAGGAGAGGGGCGAGATGGCCATCAAGGATGCCAGGAGGAAGCTGGAGGAGCTGGAATCTGCCCTGAACAAGGACAAAGAGGAGCTGGCTCGSCTGTTGAARGAATACCAGGAGATGCTGAATGTCAAGCTCGCTCTGGACGTTGAGATTGCCATGTACAGGAAGCTGCTGGAGGGAGAGGAGAACAGGTAATTTATTGGCATCTATTTGACTAAATACTTGACAGATTGTACAACTTGTRGGTAAAACCTTTGAATCCACACTGAAGATTGATTTTGTGTCAGTCTTGCTCTAATTCCCAAGCATGCATTAATTATATAAAGCATAAACATACTTAAGTTGGTTTTGCATCTTAAAAGAATGCGAAGGCAAAGGCTGCTCATCA